GCCCATGGGCTCCTGGTTATCATGTCAACCTCAGATAGTACTTTACATTGACTATATGCTCTTGACTAATCAGAGTTTTCATAATAAGTCTAATGTTAAATGATGACATTCGAAGGCGGTTCGAAATAATTATTTTTGCGCGCGATTCGCGCTCTTTCCTTCCGCATAATTATGACATTCGAAAAGCTATCTCAATTTTTTTCGTTATTTATATGTTTTAAAAGTAATCACATGTTTCACATGCAATTTGGAACAAATAAGCACTCATTGACGTTTTTGCAGAGACTACAAATTGCCATTCGCCCTTCGGGCTCTGCAATTTTGTCGGCCTTTGAAAATGGTTACTCTTGCTTATGTCAGGTAATTGGTCCAAATGGCGCTGGAAATCACGCGATTACCTGCTCTAATCGATTAACTGTCAGCAAAGGAGGACCAAAGAATCTTGATCGCGATCAAAGTACCTACGTAGAAGCAAAGTACAAGGTACGAAGGCTTCCGGAAGTGCAAAGATCAAAAAGAGGTTTTTCAAGGTCACCGCGTCATTGTCTGTATATATGAACCGGTGTCCAACGATACGCTTCCATGGGGAAATACCTTAAGGATTGAAATAATAACAGACCAAGAACAAACCTCTTCAAAAATCGACAGACTCCAAAAACAAAATTGAATAACATTGGATTCTCTTTAATTTAACAGTTCTTGACTTGTCACGCAACGCGCAAGTATTTTTACCTCTATATTCCATTTTTAACTCCCGAAATCTCAACTGTCATTTCGGGAGCGAAGAATTAGTGTAGAGAAGCAATATGCAATAGTTTAAAAACGTTTTCCTATTATTTCTTCCCTCAGAAATCGAAAAAGGTCAATAGCATTTTTCCGCCTGACCGGAAATTTACATTTGTGACGGATGGAAAAAATTAAGAGTATGATCAATTCTTTCACTTCTTTTGCTTTAAAAGTGTCTTTGCATATGCCAAAAATCCATCACAGGCAGAAATGCTAGGCAAATATGCTGAGAAAATTTGCACACCCGGCTATTTTGCGCTTCATTTAACCACATTTACTGCAAACATCAAATACCGCATCGACTCCCGCGCAGTAAAATGTTGGATTATGAAATTGCTTACCTTTCAAACCGGTTTGCCGATGTGGAAAACTAGACGCATGTGGCACTTTGTGCAATTCAAAGTGGATCGACTGAGAGCGTACCATACAACCTATATTTTTAACATAGAGAACGATCGAATGATCTTTTGATGTTCACGTGATGGTTAGAATAACTATAATTAGATCGACTAGTAAAAAAGGTAAACCCCCTATAATTTTGCGTGGGTTGTTTATAGCATGAGATTTGAAAACTAAAATTCAAATCGAACTACGAATGGCACAGTATTAGCGAATTAACTAGTTTTTCCGCGAATGAGTTGAATCAAAGACAGCTACTGAAAATTTTAACCATAATCTTCGTTCCTCGCTAAGTACTAGTCTTGCTGATCATAATCAAGCCGAGGTAAGGTCGGCTCGTAATGATTAACAGTCATATCAGCTCTCATATCCATCTGCAAAGCTGTTCAAACGATATAAGTTCTCCCCTCTCCACCTTGAAGTTTGTTTACAAATATCCTTCCTAACAACAATCATCAACTGTGCACAAACAACATCAGCTAAGCTGCTGAGCAGTTTCCCTTATTTCAAAGTTTAAAATTATTATATTTTTATCTTCTGAATCGTAACAAACGAATAGTAGTTTCGCTCAGTAGAATAGGTGTTACGTGGATTATGAACTGAATAACTAAATTTTGGCCTGATAAATCTAAATATTTCAATTATGAATAAGATTTACAATTTTGGTACGTCGACTCAGATCAATTTACCAGATTCGTCGCATCTTTTAACTATATATTTGTTAACTATCAATTATACCTCATTCTTGCCACTTAAAGTCACCTAACAACACTGTTGATTCATGCATATGGTGTTGTGATTTGCAAGTTCAAGGCTATAAGAAAATTCTCGAACGTAGATGGTTATCACCAGCCCGATTTGAGCACGAATTGGACTCTTATCACAACTGTTACTATTAGTTATTGGTAGCTGGATCCGCACGGCAAGATTATGAGTTTGGTTTAAAGTCTGCCACCTTGTCGCGCTTATGGTTCATAGTTTACCAATTTTACTTCACGCTCGATTAACAGCCGCTTTTTCGGGAAAGGAGCCCTTTTCGGGTGGATCGAAGACAATTCAGTATCGAAGAAAACGGCAGAAATCGAACCTATGAAGACGCCAGTGACGGTGTCTAGACAAACAGCTTAGCAGTGCTTTGTCTTTGCGAAGGAACTACGTGTGCCCGAGGGAGCACTGTTCCCTAGCAACCACAGAGCGTCATAACGGTAACCAAATTTGAAAATTACACAAAGCTTACTACTATTTTCTTTCTCGCAGTTTGGGCAAACTTACAAAATTTCGTAAACTAAAAGGAAACTTCAAAAATAGTGACTCATTTTCGTTGCCGTTTTAAAATCACATTTTCAAGTTCGAATCAACAATTTTCTTAAGTTCTAACTGTTCTTCACAGATCGATCCGTGCCCTGAGTGGATTTAAAAATAATTGATCCAAGCGACCTCTTTACATGAAAAACATACAACGTAGAACAAACATAAAAACCCGATTAATTTTAGTTTACCTTTTTAACCTGACAAACAGAATTTCTTCGTCGCAATTTGGTACCCTTGACGCGGAGTCAGTAGCTTGCGATAGTTTGATGAATATGTTTGAAGGTAATCACCTTAACAACGCTTATCTCTTTGTAATTAAAATTATAATAAGGGGATTCCCCTTTCTGCATTGTTTTAAAATACTACTGGGCAAGACTGAGCCTGTAATACTGAGGGTACTTTTGTTGTTTATTACGTCGTACGTTACACGATACGGATACACCATACGGATCTCCCAGCCGGCAAATAACACATATTTATGGGTAAACAGAAAACTGAACGAATTCTCAATCTATTCCATAACTCTTCCCTGTTCCGCTTTCAGGGTTGAACATTTCCTTAGTTTGCGAAAACTGACTAAGTGTCGTTAAAACTGGGTTAAACCGGACTTCACTTTTTTCTACAGCACTATAATCTTATTACGCGCTAGATCTAGAATAATTTTAATGACCAATCCTCTTACCTCGGCATGGTAACACTGATAGTGAGCAGGATATGTAAGTGACGTTTCGTTTCGATTTATGGATTTGTATGCTTGATGCAATTACATGAGCGTTATGTTAAATATCTTTAAAATTTAAATCGCAAATTTGTGATGCATAATTTACACATAACAAATGTTTAATTTGCAAAAAGCGATATATGAATCACATATATAACTTCCAAATCCCAAATTCTCGATGTATGAATCGTGTAACGTACGACGTAATGAACAACTAAAGTACCCTCAGTATTGCAGGCTCAGTCTTGCCCAGTAGTATTTTAAAACAAATCAAAGTTTAGGCGCGAAGGAGAAAAATTATCTGACACGGTTTCTTTGCCAAAAAATTATCCTGGTTCATTAACGGCGTCCAGAGTCATTTCTGAGGCCCTAGCGATTTCAAACCGTAACTCAGAACGTCACGTGCGATCTATAAAACGCAAAGCTTGTCTGCTCGCAATTTTTGACATTTATGAGATGCAAGATGTGCTGAATCAACATAAGTTTAAAGTTGCTTCAACCAAAGACTCTAACTGTATAATTTACTCACAAGTCTAGAAATGTCACTACTTTATGGGGAACAAACAAGTCCGTAAACAAACACGCTGAGTAACAGTCCAATGATTTTAAAATTACTGTTAAATATTTTTTGAAAATACTTGAAATAGTTGAAGAATGTCTCCCGACAACATATCTGTGTAATGACTTATTGAGTGTTAAAAATTTTTTAGCCAGACACAACAAATGTAAATTATGAAGATTCAATTCGAAAATGTAGATGAATTCATGTCTGTAATCGAAATTCCAAAGTTTTTTATTCCTTTTTTTTGGCAATCTTTTAAAATAATTTTTGCGTCGAACTAGTGACTAAGAGAACCTGGGAATGAGACCTAAAGGTAAGCTGAGTCAGCAGAAAAATTTTTTTAGACAAATTCACGCTGTTTTCTATCGAAAATGATTCAGTCACTCCAACAAGCATAAGTGGAACTCCCTTGATTTCGAATTGAAGAAAAAACTGATTTCTGACTGAACCAATAGGTGTGGATTTTTCCAACAACTACCTGACTTACCTTCAAAAACAGTGCAGCAAAATCCAAGAGTTTGTTATGATAAAGCAAAAATAAGAGTGAGTATCAATTGTTTAAGGCATGCAAAGCGAAAACTTACCCTTACTCGATGCGCTCGAGTGACAATGAGTTAGGTTGAGATGGATACAGGTCCCAAATTTTCCTCGGCGGCTTGAAGAGTTAGCAAGTGACCCCTGAGCGTTGCAAAGGCGAAATAGATAGAAATTAGTTTTGCAGTCTTTTAAATTTCGTCATGCGCATGTCAAAATTTACTCACGTGATTTCCAGTCGTTTTGAATTGTAGGGCATTCTCCCGAGCTGAGATGAGCTAATGAAAGGCGTAAAAGAAGATAGGAAATGTGGGAATAAATGTGTCCTATATGATGAGCCGTTTTCCAAATGCAAAGCTTTTGCTTATCCTCGACGTTATTAATATTATTTCTTATGAAATTGTACCCGCAATCTACTTCTGTGTAATATGCAGAACGAAAAACATATTTCCGTAAGGCACTTCTTATTTCTGCTGACATTTGCTAAACGTGATAAATTTTTGTATGGCTCGTGAAATCACGGTAATAAATAGTTAAAGTGTCAGTTTACGTGTTATATAAATAAATTTTTGCTGACTTTCACCTACAAAGCTTTAGTTATTTTTAGAAACAATGACGTAATCTCGAACCCAGGTCGCCAAATAATGAGGAGCCGTTCTTAATCTTTCCCGGCATCCAACATGGCGTCCGGAATCTGTTACCCCATTGTCCGAAGGGATGAAAGTGCTGGAAATGATTATCACGGCACGAAGATTTGCGATCCTTACGTTTGGTTAGAAGACCCAGACTCGGAAGAAACGAAATCCTTTGTAGAACAGTAAAATGCTATTACGATGCCATATTTAGCAGCTTGTGAGACGAGAGAAAATTTCAAGAACAGGTAGGAATGATGGCTTTGTTTAAGGACTGAGATCACATTAGAGATCATTAATCTGCGCTCGATCGTGTTGTTTTGCTCAAAGTCATATCCTAAGAATATCAGTTTGCAATGAAAATAAATCGTCACTCCGAACAAATGTAGGAGAGTTGGAAGTTTTTTTTCCTACTTGACCGGCGAGCGTAGAGTCTCTCGTGCGTTCAGAATGACACATGGAAAAGAAAGGACTCAAATAAAAGCAGGTACCATAGTGAACCTTACCAGGTATCAAATGGATTTCGTTATGTAGTCTTTAAGACACCATCTCTAGAATTACTTATTTACTTCCCTATTTATGAATCTTTTTTGGCATTATGTTATTTATTTATCCTCTCCCTTAAATTCAAATGATTATCTGCATTATATTTACTTTTAATTTTGTTTTGTTTATTTGTTATTTCATTTTCAATTTTTTTAAAGCAAAATTGTCTTTGGATAAGGCGATTTTACATCCTACTTATGAATGTGCAATAGGTGGGCAGGAAATAAATTGTATGAAGTAGTGTTGTGTGTTGAGATATTCCAGTGGCTCAGTTGATTCTGTTGGTACCTGTTGATTTCAGGCTAACTGAGATGTGGGAATATCCGAAGTATGGCTGTCCATCCAAAAAAGGATCAATATACTTTTACTTGCATAACTCTGGTCTGCAAAATCAAAGGTGCAGTATCTAAGGGGCAGAGGTCTTTGTTTGTTGCTCATAAAATGCTTGAAACCTCCTCAAAAAAAAAAAAGAAAAAGGAAAAAAAAAAAGATGAAAACAGGTAATTTTTCCATGCATTGTACATTTTGCCAATGGAAGGACAATATCCCTATAGACCTACCAAGTACATTTTTCAGTTAAAAGTACATTTGCTTGAAGCTAAATTCTCATAATCCAACATTTAAGAGTTTTTCTTTGAGCAAGATTTACATTGATTGCTTGTGACTGATTTATTGATATTGATCAGGTTAAATAAGTGAGAGGTAGAAGTGAATTTAGATCAATTATGCAAAATGTCTCAGGAGCATAAAATGTGAGGCCTTACTTCAGTAAAAATATCCCTGTCTCTCCTTAACCCTTCAACTTCCAAGATCTCATTAGTAATTCTCCCTACTGTCTGCCATACAAATCTTATGATGTTAGTTCGGAGCATTTGGTATAGGATCAAGTAATAATCCCCAAATTGATATTTTTCTTTGTTCTCATCACCTGTCTGCTTGATATTGTATAAATACTGTGAGGAGAAATTCTGTCTTGGTCACTCATGGGAGTTGAAGGGTTAATAACTGGAATATTGACTAAGTTTGTCATGTATATGTACACTCAGTGAAAAGTTTGAACCAAAGAAAAACAGTTGACTGTGTGGTCTGATTGTTCAGGTTACAGTAATTCCTTATAACAACTGTTGTCTGTGCTAGTGAAAAGCAGAACATGAGGCATTTTCAGAGTCAAGAGTAACAAAGTTATAGATCTCTTCCAGCACTCTAGAAAATATGTATAAGATACATGTCTTTTTATCCTTTGCTAGATACTTGATTAACCATATCAATGTGTGATTTATATATCAGTACATTATAGTGTTCTGTATGTCCAAGACTCTTTGGAAAGTGAAGCACAAGTATTTCTGGACCCCAATAAACTGTCTGAAGATGGTACTATGGCATTGGCTAAAAGATGTTTCTCTGATGATGGAGGGTTCTTTGCTTATTCTTTGTCAAATAAGGGATCGGATTGGGTCACCATAAAGGTACTGACAGCATGCTTGCACGCAGAGTTTACAAATCAACACCCTGAACTGGGTCTGTTTTGGTTGTAAATTTTGGTGACCAAAAGTTGTCAACTTAGTGATCTGTCACTTACTTGTAGTTAGGTGTATGATTCTCATTGCTTTGTGTTTTACTAGTCTCAAGTCATAATGAGATAGTCATTTGCATACTATCAATGCTTTATGGTTTTCTTTATGAAAAAAAAGTTTACTAAAATAAACTCTTTGGTGACCATGTCATGATGTGAGGTTCCCACATGGCAATTTTGAAAAAAATTGTGGTTGGAGCACATTTAGTGCCTTCATAAGGACAAGTAATGATAATTATGTAGAAATTGGTGAAGGTCTGATTTCCTTCTGAAACTTTAATCTTCCTAGGTCTAAAAGTTACTCTGGATGAAATTATTACAGACTAACATAATAACCAGCTCCCAGTTGGTTTGTTAGCTCAGTTGATAGAGCTCTGCATTAGAATTGCAGAGGTCATGGATTCAAATCCCGTACAGGCCTAAATATTTTTCAGGCATTGTTTTCACTACAGCTGTAGTAGTGTTCACTACTGCGAAGATTGCCTTCATATTCATTTCTTAAACTGTGTTTCACATAAATGATTTTTATTTCACAATCATATAAGAAATTTTGCTGTCCCCAGTGCAAGGCAGTCGTAACTAAAGATTAAAGTGTAATTATGTATACATTTTTATTTTTTATTCTAAGCAAAAATTTGTGGATTCAATTTTGCTCTTGCTTTTCCTCTCCCAGTTTATGAAGGAAGATGGTCAAGAACAGTTGCCAGACACTTTAGAGAATGCAAAGTTTACAAGCATGGCTTGGACACATGATAACAAGGGATTATTTTACAATGTGAGAACTACCGGTAATTTCTTCATAATTGAATGGCTTTAAGGATGTCCAAAAATGTTTTTCCACAAGCTTTTGGGGGTCATTTTTTTTCTTATAAAAGAAAATTCTACCAAGAGAACTAAACTTTTGCTGGTTAACATGTTCTTTGAATTTGTTAAAAACACTACCTTGTGAAATGGGAGGACTCCTATTGATGACCAGAGAGCAGAAAAAGAACAATATGAGATGAAAAACTCACACCTACATGTAAGCCCCTATTTTTAAGGGTTCATAAGGTTTAATTTAGAATTCTCCCTCTCTTACCTCCATTCTTTTGCCTTCCCCTCCCTAAGAAGAGTGAAGAAACAAGGACTCACCTGAAGGACACCAGCTGATCATTGGTTCAAAAAATGTTCCTCTCGCTTTTCCCCATCCCTCTCCCCCCCCCCCCCTCACCCCCATCACCCACTCAAACTCAAACTCAAAAAAAAAAAAAGGCCAGTCAGATAAATGATCATAGGCTTATACTAACTCTCCCTGGTAAGATGTCTGCAGTGCAGGCTAGTAGCTTGCATACATGTACAGTATATGAAGATTTCCAGCTTATAAAATCTTGTTTGTTTATTGCTATCTTTGCTGCTCAAAAGCCTCTATGTTAGATCAAGTGAGAGAAATTCACAAATTTCCATGACAAGTTGTCTAAATGTTGCTTTAAGATACTGTACAGACAGATATTATTACATTGTATTGTTGTCAAACTATACTTTAATACTTTAGCTGTATGGTAACATGTGCAACTGAAGTGGATGAGGGAAATACAATATATCCCTCCAAACATATTGCCAACTGTAATGCCAAAAGACTTGAACTTACAGTTACTGTATTAAATTTTGTGTCAACACATTTGCATGTCCACAAACGCTAGCACCCCAGCACTCATTGATGGAGCAACTGTCTTCCCATCTATCCCTTCTGGGTGCAGCTGCACCACGCCCAGGCCCCCTCTCCAAAGGTTCACCATCCTGGCCTGGGACAATTGTTTTTGATAATACATGCTGAAGTGACATGAAAACTTATTGTCATGAAACAGAAATTGTTCCTTTACTTTCATGCACCAAGAATATTGCAAGTCATGAGTCGGCTTTCAAATTTACCGGTCCTGAAGACGAGATCGACCTTATTTTGTGCTGAACGCACATATGTCGGCCCCTCTGTAGTTTAAGGTTTTAAATGGTAGTTGGGTCTGTTGATGTTAACAGTGGTTAATAGTACCACTCCCTTATACAAGCCCCACCCATTGGCCACAGCACATAGCACCCCAGCCTCACATAAGCCACACATCCCCACCACTGCGTTTTGTAGCATGGTGTTGTAAAAATGTACAAAAGGTTCTCTTTCATGCTATTAGGGTATTTCTTGCAATTTTAGCGTAAAAAAAACAAGAATAATTCCCTGCAATAAATAAATGTATTTTACTGTTTGTCACCAGACAAAGATGACACTATTACAAAAACGTTTACAGAATAAAATATTTTGTAGGTTCCAAGAATTCAATTCTGATGGTGCTTAATTGTATGGATTTTTGCCCTTCACGTACCCCCTAAAGTTCCTTTGTCACCGGTATTGCGTGACAACCCAAATACTCAAAGGGCGTACGTGTTTGTAGTCAACTCAGTTTAGCATTGAATTAGACTGTCAGATGTAATCTTTTAGTGCATTGTAAACTGAGCTATACTCGTAGTCAACTGAACCGTTGAATAAGATGCCACAGTGAAGAAAGATATCGAATGTTTGACAAGATGGTGTTCGACAGGGTTGGTGGTTTCATCGGACGTTATCATTTGTACAGACCTAAATACGACGAACGACAAGAGAATCGCACTAAAATGGTCTCTGGATCGGTCTTCTGCGGCAAATGAGGTTAGAGCATTTGGAAATATCTTTCTATGTACATTTTTCGGCCTCATATGGGTTGAAACCTATAAAAATATGTGTGACTCGCGACTGGAATGTTGACCGCAAAAGGTCAAATAACTGCATTTTAACGGACTTTGAAAAGCTTTTGTATCGCTCTCAATCATTTGCCCAAACAAATTTTTACAGTTATATTGAGGACATCTTTTCGAAATTCAACCACCAAAAGCTTAATCCATTTGAAGGTTTAGCACATGGTAAAAAACAAATTTTATTCACGAAGTATTTTTACTGAAGAGAAATGTTTTGCTTTCGAAATTAAATTATTTCAAGCGCAAAGAAGAGCGCAATGTTTCCAAAAATCATTTTGTGAGGTCTTATGAGATCGAAAAAGAAGATTTGAGTGTTTAAAAGACGAGATAGTGATTCGTTTTTGCACGCGAAAACCTCAAACTCGTGCTATAATTTGCTGCTAAAAATGACGATTTTAACGGAATAGTCCTTTTTACAGTTCCTGGCGCCATATTGGATTAGTAACCGCGCAAACACGATAGCGAGGCTGCCGGTGACCCGATTCGGGCATCGCATAAGAGTTTGTTGGTGTTTTCAAGCGTTTCGTTGGTTTGTCGAGTCTTTGGTGGGATGAATGAAAGCTTAAGCGTCGGGGAAACATCCTCCGCCCCTCGAAAGAGAAGAGGAAAGTATTGTGCAGCCTTTGACTGCAATAATAGCGCCTATAATGTAAACGGTACTCGTACAAGTTATCATTTCTTCGAGTTTCCCAAGGACGCTCAGCTAAGGAATCGGTGGTGTTCACTTATCAAGCGACGACACGGACAGGACGGCTTTGTTGTTTCCACCGCCACTGTCCTCTGTCATGAGCATTTTCGGGCAGAAGATATCTCGAAAAAACTTTCTGGTCGCTGGAATTTGAAGACAGGTTTGTGATATTGTCGAGCTTTTGTTGTGTGCGTTCGTGATTTGAGCTATGAAAAACTCAAAATTCTAAGATATTTTGATCTTTAGAAACAAGGATTCGTTTAATTTTTTCCCAAATCAAAGATTTTGGTTGTTTTATTCGACGATTGTTGTTTTATTGTAAACTTTATGATTTAAAGTGTTTCATGTCTTGTGATTTTTGTCATTGAATGATAGAATATTTAATGTATGCTTATTAATATTGCTGGACTTCACAAAAGCAATCAATTTAATTGCAGATTAACTCATAATAAATAAATCTGAAATGATTACTGTCACATTTAATAAGTTTTATTTATTTATTTATTTACAAGGTGCAGAGCCATGTATATTTAGCTGGACAAAGCAATCAAACCAAAGAAAGGCACCAAAGGAAAGAAAGATGGATGAGTCAACTGTTGGAGTAGCAGCATCAGCATTGCAGTTTGGATCCTGCTCAGTATTTCCTTCTATTGATGCGTCAACTGATGCTGCTCATTCATTTTCAGAGTGTGATGAAAATGCAGCTGAAGTGGAGTGTGAGTCCCCTCAAACAGAGCCTGATTGTGTCCTTGAACTGCAAAGGAGAATTGAATTACTTGAAACTCAGCTAGCTGACTGCCAGGAAAAACTCAGTGAAGCAGAAAAGGAAAATGCTGTGTTATTGGAACATCAATTTTCCATTGACAAAATTAAAGATGACAATGCTGCTGTTTTATTTTACACCGGATTCCCAAGTTATGAGGCATTAATAAGCTTCTACAAATACATTGAGCCAAAGCTTTCCAAAATGCAGTACTGGAAGGGTGAAAATCTAGTAAAGGAAAGCCAGCCTTATCAACTTGATGATAACAAGAGTAAACCTGGACCATCAAGGAAGCTTACTTTTCTGGATGAGTTCCTACTGGTGCTCATGAGACTGAAAGCTGGTCTATTTGTACAGGACTTTGCTGACAGATTTGGCATCAGTGCCAGCCTGGTTTCCAGGATCTGCATCACCTGGATAAATTTGCTCTATCATGAGCTCAAGGACCTGTTTCCATTTCCCACACAGGAGCTTGTTCGCAAAAACATGCCTAAGGAGTTTGCCCAGTATGCCACAACCAGGATAATTTTAGACTGTACTGAGCTATTCATTCAGGGACCATCTGCTATGCTGGCTCAGTCAGAGACATGGTCAGATTATAAACACCATAATACTTGGAAGTTGCTAGTTGGGGTAACCCCAAATGGACAGGTCACTTTTTTGTCAGATCTCTGGGGTGGGCGTGTGTCTGACAAGCAAATAACAAGAGAGAGTGGTGTATTAGATTTGTTGCAAGTGGGTGATAATGTCATGGTTGATCGCGGATTTGACATTTCTGCAATTGTACCTGCTGGCGTTACAGTAAACATGCCACCATTTTTGGCTGGCCGTGATCAAATGACAGCAGCTGAAACTGAAGAGACTATGAGTATTGCTTCAGTGCGCATTCACGTGGAGCGTGCAATTGGCCGCATTAAGACCTACCACATTTTAGATGGTACCTTACCTAATACATTGAGCCCCTATGCAACACAAATTTCAACTGTCTGTGGCCTTCTGACAAACTTTTTACCCCCTTTACTACCACCGGCCAATCTTTGATTCTAGTTTTTGCTGTCTATTTATTATTAGGTAGAAATGTTTACTTTTTTTGCATTTTAAAATTGTGGCAGAAGCCCAGCTATCAGTCTAAGCCTGCTTCCTGTAATCAGCCCCTTGGGTTCCATTAATTTTGTATTCCAAATAATACCACTTGCATGTCAATGCATATTAATAACTATTGGGATTCCATATAGTAAGTTATCATGGAACCAAAAATTCCCACTTTATTTCATCTAAAAATGAAATTGTACATGTATTTTTACACAGTGCATGCTAGTAATTTGTTCCCTTGAGCACAATGTGGCGGTACTTGCGCGTTGACACAACCAGGTAATCGTAAAGCTGAATAAAATTTAGTTCGGGAAGCTGACGTAAATCAGTGGACCATCCGAGAGCAGAGATTTGTCTTAAAGTTTCATCGTACTTGAAGTCACCACTATTTTCCGTTGTATTCTGGTGATCCTGAGCAGTATTATCGCTACTTTGCCGCTGATACTCACCCGGTCGTAGCACGTGTCGCATGAGTATCGCGTAGACTTTTAAAACCAAATCTGCTTTTATTCCGCCCGTCGCTTCCGAATTAGAACGCAAAATTTCCCTTAAATCCTTCACTTTTAACTTCTGGATATCTTCTAGCGTTGTAATCTGCATATCCTTGCAAACTAGCACCATTTTAGAAGCGATTGAACCACGAAAGACTTCTCCGATCAGCTGTATTTACTGTTTTTGTAATACGCGGGTCACCGGCAGCCTCGCTATCGTGTTTGCGCGGCTACTAATCTAATATGGCGCCGGGAACTGTAAAAAGGACTATTTCGTTACTTGTATTTTGCTCTGAAATAGAAAGATATTTTGCCAAAAAAAGTGTCCAATGATTTTAGTTATAACCTAGCCTATTTAACATTAAAATAAGAAAGAAATCGAATTTTCCACCCTTGCCGCGATATGTCTGATTTTTACCGACAAGCGCTCTTAACATCTATCTGAGGTTTTAGTTGCAAAGGCAACTGTCATACTTGAGGTATTTCCCGCTTATGATACAAACTGACATAAAGGCAAAAAGAAAGAAAAGAAAAGTGGGAATTAAAGATACAGGTAGTTATGCACGCTGAGAATTTTCCTCGTGCAACAATTTTTTTTCCGTTTAGCCTCTATTAATTGTCTCTAAAGAAGTTCTATCGCGCGTTGTGGGCAAAAAAAAAAAAAATTATTTCGCTGACATTTGCTGACCGTGGTATTTCGATTTATTTTAGCAAGTTAGATCACAACTACAAAGTCATTACAATGAAAGATGGATGTTTTCATTGTTAAGTCACCATTAAATAAAGTAGACGTGTAGAATAAGTTTTTGTGTGCATTTTGCTGACTTACGGTAAGAGTTTTGTCGGTGGACATATTGTAAAATACGATGATCTCCTATCAACGCCTACGTGTAGCCGTACCCTTACCCCGCAAGGGAAAATGGAGTTTCACTATGCGGGGGAGGGTACGGTTATACAGTTAGATCATCTCAGTCGGCCCAATCCTCGGCTCGGCGAGTTCTAGGATGGCGTCCGTTATACATTATCCTAAATCTCGGAGAGATGAAAATGCGGTAAATGATTATCATGGCTCGAAGATTCACGATCCTTACGTTTGGTTGGAAGACCCAGACTCGGAGGAAACGAAAAGATTTATAGAACAGCAAAACGCTATTACGATGCCCTATTTATCAGCTTGCGAGACGAGAGAAAATTTCAAGAACAGGTATAAATGCGGGCTTTGTTTTAGGACCAAGGTCACACAAGAAATCACTAGTCCACGTTTCCATTTGGTAGACTCAATCTCCTAAGAAGATTAGCTCAAAACGAGTTATCACCCCGGGAAAATTCAGCAGAGTTTTCGTGATTTTTCAGGTCCCGCATTTTTGCGTTCAGAATGACATGTGCAAACTATACGGGGATATATTGAATTGTTATAGTGTACCTTAATGGGTGTCAAATGATTTCCTTACGAAGTCTCTACGTCTCGTTCTCTACTTATGTTTCTTTATTTATTTACTTTTGTATATTTTTTGGCATGATTTTATTGATTTGACATGACATTGATTTGACATGACTTCCCCCAGCTCAGACGTTAAACGTTTGTGAAGGACTTAAAAAGGTTGTAAACAAGTCACCATTTCCATTGACAAATGTGATTAAAAAACGATTTCAATTAAAAAAAAACTGAAAAATAGATAAGGATGGAATTAAAAAAAAAAAAAGCGAAAAAGAAACTGATAATAAAAATGCATATTTTGAGTGAACAAAACAAAATGTATGAAGTAATGTTATGTCAATAGGTTCCAATAGTTCAGTTGATTATAATGGTACTTCTTTATTTCAGGCTAACTGAGATGTGGGACTATCCAAAGTATGGTTGTCCAATTAAAAGAGGAGCAAAGTACTTTTACTTACATAACTCTGGTCTGCAAAATCAAAGGTGCAATATCTTAAAGGCAATGACCTTTGTTGCGTACGAAAATGCATAAAAAAACACAAAAACCAGGCACTTTTCCTAGGAATTTATGCATTTCATGTTTGAATTGCCTGTTCAAGCACTGTTCAGAATGAAGAGAAAGGACAAGATCCCCATGAACTTTTCAAGTACATTTTACTGTTGAAAAATAAATTTTCTTGAAGCTTTCTTCTGACTCACAATTCAACATTCAAAGTCTGTTCTTTTTTCATATAAAGGACAAAATTTACATTGATTGTGTATTGTGACTGATTTATTGATATTTATCAGGCTAAATCAGTAACAGGGAGATGTGGTTTTAGATCAATTATATGCACATTAATATAGAATTTAAAGCTTTACTAGAGCAATATCCCTGTATCTCTTTATTAACTAAAAAACTAACTGCATCTTTCATGTAGATTCAGTGAGCGGTTTACCCAAGGAAAGCAGTTGACTGTGTTGTATAATTGTTCAGGTTACAGTAATCCCTTAATTAGGAACTGTTGTCTGTGCTAGCAACAAGCAGAACATGGGGTATTTTCAGAGTCAAGAGTAATAGAATTATAGATCTCTTCAAGCACTCCAGGACATTTGTATAAGGTGCATAACTGTTTCTCTTTCTTTCTTGATACTTGATTAATGATGATGTGTGATTTATATACATTGTAGTGTTTTGTATGTCCAAGACTCTTTGGAAAGTGAAGCACAAGTATTTCTTGACCCCAATAAACTGTCTGAAGATGGTACTGTGGCATTGGCTAAAAGATGTTTCTCTGATGATGGAGAGTTCTTTGCTTATTCTTTGTCATATAAGGGATCAGATTGGGTCACCATAAAGGTACTGATAGTATGCTTGCACAAAGAGTTTATTAACCCTTTCACTTCCACAAGTGACCAGGACAGAATTTCTCCTTACAATATGAATACAATATCAAGTAGGCAAGGGATGAGAATAGAGAAGAATATCAATCCTGGGATGATTAGTTGATCCAATACCAAATTCTTTGAACTAACATCATAAGAATTGTATGGCAGATAGTAAGGAGAATTACTAATCAGATCTTGGGAGTGAAAGGGTTAACCAGCACTCTTGAGCTTGGTCTGTTTTGGTTGGCATAGTGAGTATAAATAAATTTTGGTGACCAAAAGTTGCCAATTTAATGATATGTCATTTACTTGTAGTAAGGTGTATAATTCTCATTACTTTGTGTTTAACTAGTCTCAAGTCATAATAAGATAGTCATTTACATACTATCAATGCTTTACTGTTTTCGTTAATAAACTTCTTGGTGACCATATCATGATGTGTGGTTCCCTCTGGGCAATTTTGGAAAAAAGTTGTTGTTGGAGCACATTTGATTTCCTTATAAGGAAAAGTAATGATAGCTGTGTAGAAATTGGAAACTCAAGCAAGGTCATTCATGAAGGTCTGATTTCCTTATGGAACTTTAGTCTTTCTAGGTCTAAAAGTTACTCCAGATGAATTTATTACAGACTAACATAATTAAACCAGCTCCCATTTGGTTTGTTAGCTCAATTGACAGAGCACTGCACCAGTATCGCAGAGGTCATTGGTTCAAATCCTGCCCCTACAGGCCTTAATATTTTTAAAGTCTTGTGTTCACTGTCCTTCGTTAGTAGTGTTCATTACTACAAAGATTGCTGTCATATTCATTTCTTGAACCACTGTTCACATAATTATATGATTTTTATACATTTGCAATCATAGATGAAATTATGTTGATTAAAATTTAAATCTTGCTTGCTTTTCCTCTCCCAGTTTATGAAGGTAGATGGTCAAGAACAGTTGCCAGACACTTTAGAGAATGCAAAGTTTACAAGCATGGCTTGGACACATGATAACAAGGGATTATTTTACAATGTGAGAACTACATATAATTTCTTCATAATCAAATGGCTTTAAGGATGTTCAATAAGGTTTTTCCACAAGCTTTTGTGGGGTCATTATTTTTCTCTTTTAACAGAAAATTCTGCCAAGTGTACTAAACTCTTGCTGGCTAACATGTTCTTTAAATTTGTTAAACACACTCTCTTGTGAAATGGGAGGACTCTTATCTATATGACCAGAGTGCTGAACAAGACGAGAGCAATATGAGAAGACAAACTAATACCTAAGCCCATATTTTTGGGGTCAGGTAAATAAGCTCATGAGATTTTACATAGAATTTTGTTTCTGTTACCTTCCTCTCTCATTGAAGAGGGGATGGGGACACAAGGCCTCATCTCATGGACAACCACTGATCAGTGGGCTGATTAATGTACTAGTGGCTCAGAGAGATGAATTTCTTATTGTTGATGGTGACGATAGATGCTGATGGGACATGAAAATTTATTGTCATGTTTATTTATTTTATTGATACTTAAGTTTAGAAGGTTAGTTTAATTGGTTCTAATATATATGTAAATAATTTTTAAATTTTAAGCGTTACCCAACTGGTGACAAAGCAGATGGAACAGAAACTGATCTAAACCTCAACCAAAAGGTTAGTGGTAATGTACTTAGAATACTGTGAAATTTTAAACCTCTTCTTATTTGAAGTTAAGAAAATAATGGTTAGGGTGCAGAATGCTTGCAACCATTGAGTTATTGATGCATGAGGGAGATTAATAGGCATGAAAGAAGGGTATGAGTCCTACAGGGTGTTGGCTGAGTGCGACTCTAGCTTTTTGAGTGCATCCATGACTCAATGGTTCCATTTCTTTTATAACATTGGGACTTTCAAACATCTTTTGTTTAGCATATAAACAATGAGCAAACAAACTGATGTCGTTATGCAACCCACAGGCAAATGGATCAAGCATATTAGCCAATCAAAGCATATGCTTTCATAAAGCTAATTGTTGTAAAACAGTTTAATCAGTTGTTACTCAGCACATACAAGTTGAAAAGCAATGACAAGCTGTAGGGGCTTTAATAAGAACTACAGCTACACTGTAAGAGGTCTATTCAGATGTTCAAGTGTGAGTCTAATGCTTTCATGGAACATTAAGCAGGAAATATCAAGCAGTTGTACATCATTGTTCCTTTAAATTTTAGTAACATGGTTAAGTATAGTTTTATCTTTGTTTTACCAACAGCTCTATTACCATGTTCTTGGAACCAGCCAATCTGACGATGTTCTCTGTGCTGAATTTCCTGAGCATCCAAAGTGGTCTACGTAAGTTACTATGTTTACATAACAATACATTCAGTAGATTTTGGAATTAGGAAAACTAAGCAACACAGAACAAAACAAACTAACGAAAAAAAAAACGGGTACAACTACAGCAAGAGAAACAAACTACCTTTGAGCTTACTTGGAGATCTTTTTGTCACAAAAAAATATCAATTGTGTACCCTGTGCAAAGAACTGACTTTGCATATTTTGTTGTGAAGTGTGATGTATTTTTACCCTGCTCAGCAATATGTGATGTTGTTCAGGTGATTGTCACAAAGTGATAACTGCACGGGCCATTGATACTGTGTTGCCAGAATCAAGAGCTAAGAGAATAAATCTCGCCACATTGAGCGTTTTTTGGAGCGACTATAAGTACGCGAACTGATCAAACTTCACATTTTTTGGGAAGGAGGGGCTGGGGGTGTGTTGTGTGCGGTAAGGGGGATGGGGATTGGGGATTGTAAAATATGTCACGTGTTTAGAGCCATAATCGTGCTGGATTTTTTCGAAATTTTAGGCTTAAACGGTGTAAATTTTAGCTCTTAAAAATAAACAATTCGCATGAGTAACGCGGAATTCTAAGATAATTAAAATTGAGGCGACTTGAATTTCACGAGGTTCTATAGCTAGGACACAAGAACACAGAGGAGCTATATAATTTCATAGCATCGTGCTTTGAATCTCAAGTTACGAAGCATGCCATTTCAACAAACAGGCTTATATGGACATTTAACGACATAATTATTATTCTATGATTGTCTTACAGAGGTGCAGGAGTTAGCGACTGTGGAAGATATTTGATTTTAACCCCTCATGAAGGCTCTGCCCCATTCAATAGACTCTTTTACTGCGATCTCAAATATCAAGAGGGTATTACAGGTGAAAATTTTATCATCTCTTTTTTGAAACATGTATATTTGACATTTTTGTCTGTAAAACAGGGCGGCTTTGCGTAAGGTTCCGGGAGAGTGATTTTTTTAAACCATAAAGTGTTATTACTCACATTTTCCTAAAGATGTACAATACTCGTCCATCTTTGGTAAACGCACAGCTTTCTTTTGATCCTCCGTCACTCAAACCGAGGGCCAGCGGTTTTGGTCCTAGCACGGAGCATCTCATAGGTCGTGTGACACGTTGCTGCTCGACCTATGACATATTTGTGACTGGTCACGCTTTTCACACGGACCTCGCTTACGTCACCCATCTGTCACTACGCACGAAATGCGTAATGACAGATGGGTTCTTGACTTTTTGTCTGTAGTTATTATAACGTTCTTTAGCTTTTACCAGAAGAAACCATTCTAATAATTTATCCCTCTAACTCCTAGGATGCAACTGTCGATTCTCCCCCTCGAGAATTAGGCGTTAGATCAACCTTTTTCCTGATAAGTTTGGGCATTCTCGTTATCTGTTTGCCTGATAATGTCCGGATATTACAGGGAGAAGTTACATGTTAATCGTTAGTGGAAATTAAAGGATTGAGACGAATTCTACACCTTACATGGTATTTCTTTTTTTTTATTTTTCTGTGTGTGGCAGGTTTGCTTCCTTTTGTGAAGGTTGTGGACAATTTTGATGCACAATATGAGGTGATTAGAATGATAATTATTGACTGATAAAGGTGAACGAGTTTTTAAATCCAGTTTGGAGCGACTTCTCTACGCAGAGGGAAGTTGCAGAGATCTCCATGTAGAGGCACTGGGGAATTTGACCTACGTGTGTTCAAATCTTTCTTCCGCTTCGATCCTACATTTGTGTCTACAATCCGCAAGCCTTGTGCTATTTACCTCTTTAAATATTAATGTAGTTATCTGAAATTTGATAAAGGAAGATTTTTTCCTCATTATTTTTAACAATTATTTTTACTCTTTAGTACATTACCAACGAAGGAACACTGTTCACCTTCAAAACGAATTTCAAATCTCCTAGATACAAGTTGATTAACATAGACTTTTCAAAACCAGAAATGGTGAGTGTTATTCTTGTACATGTAATCACACTTAAAACAAATCATAGGAAGGGTGTCTAATGGTTTTACAGTTTGCAAGGAAAGGAAACACATGATCATTGCCGTATCCTGAGAAAGGAAAATGTGGTAAACAGTATCGACACGAGAGTTGAAAATATCATCATGTGAAGGATTTTTTTTATGCTCTGATCTGGCTAAAAATTCTCATTACTTTTAGAGAAAGATGCGACTATTTAGCAGGCATTTCGGGCTTCAGAGGCAGAATAGCTTTTACTCTGTGCTGGTCGCCCAGTTGTAGTCCAAGTTGCTTTCAAGGCCTGTGTTTGGAAGGCTGTAAAATAATCAAGGGAAAACAGAATAGTAAATTATGATTTTGAACGAAATTCCTACTTTCATACACCAATGATCGTTATCATTGTCATTGTTGGTATGAATATTATTATTACTATTATTATTTTGACGATCGTTATCATTATTTGCATATTTTGTTAAGGAAAACTGGACCACTTTGGTTGAAGAAGACGAGAACGACGTCTTAAAATGGGCTACCTGTGTCAAACAGAACTTTCTGGTACTCTGCTATCTTCATGATGTCAAGGTGGGCTATCTGTGTTTTGAACACTGCACGCGTTCTTGAAGCTTTTTAAGAGAGAAATGCGGGCCTGATTTGGTCTAGAAACTTAGGCTAGCACTTCAAAGTAAATATACAGTATGTTAGATAAAGATGTTAGTGTTAATTCTGTAGTGAATCTTGCCTACAGAGCATTCTTCGTCTTCACAAAATCACTGGAGAAAGACTCATGACCTTCCCACTCGATATCGGCAGCATTGTAGAGCACTTTGGAAAGCGGAAGGATTCAGAGGTAAGCAGTTCCAACACTGCAATAGTCACTTACTAATATGTATTTCACGGATGAATGTTCCAACGATTTTAACAATTATTCATCGGTTTCTATATTTTGTACTCAGTTGCATATTCTTACTTTAAGGCAGGTATAGATATACAGAATAAAAAATTACCTGCAAGGGAACACTGTAACCTGCGCGAAAACCTTTTACCCATTCACGGCAAAAAAAAAAGAAAAAAAAAGAAAAAAAAAGGAAAAAAAGCTGATCATTTACAAGTCTAAAGCTTAGGTGTTTATGTATTTAGTGCAAGCCAATACCTACATAACGCTTTCCTTGCGTTAATATTTGCTTACTTTTTCTTTCTTTCAGATTTTCTACAAGTTTACTTCGTTTCTGACTCCTGAGGTCATCTATCGTTGCGATTTGACGCAGGAAGATCCCCAACCCAAGGTTTGCATTTGAAAGTCAGCTCAATTCAGTCACGGTCCTCTGAAATGTTCTCGACCTCATGTCAGACCCAGTAAAAGGTCTTAGGGTGTTTTGAAACAGTGTATTTTCTTGGCAGGTTTTTCGTGAAACAAACGCGAAAGGGTTTGACTCAAGTCAGTACCAGACTGTCCAAGTGTTTTATCCAAGCAAAGATGGAACTAAGATCCCAATGTTCATTGTTCATAAGAAGGTGAGTGCTAGAACCAAACCCAACAGCCTCCTCATAGGTCAACCCTTTTACTTCCAATATCTCATTAGTAATTCTCCTTACTGTCTGCGATACAATTCTTATGATGTTGGTTCTGAGAATTTGATATTGAATCAACTAATAATCCCCTAACTGTAATTTTTATTTATTCTCGTTACTTGTTTGTTTACTATTGTATTGATTTGGTAAGGAGAAAGTCTGTCTTGGTCACTCATGAGAGTTAAAGGGTTAAACAGACGGCAGTGAGAGGTCTTGTAGGTGGTGGTTGACCATCCCTAACTAGCATTCTTTGAGACCCCTGTTATTGTAACTCAACTCCGCTGCCATTAGGATCGTGTGTTCAACCAGACCAGCGGATAAGTCAGGATGCAGTTGTCTTGTTGAACAAACGATCCTGATGGTTTTTGTTCTCATTATTGGTTTTCTTTCACTAATCCCAAGTATATAGTCTGTCGTTGCTTTGTTCTTTTTCTTATTCTTTTTATATTCATGTAGTATGAATAACAATTAATTATCTTATTTCTTTTGTATTTTTATTATTTGACTTTTCAGGGTATCGAGTTAGATGGAAGCCATCCGCTTTACTTATTTGGTTATGGAGGGTTTAACATATCAGTCACGCCGTCCTTCAATGTGTCAAGGATCGTGTTTATGAGACATCTCGGAGGCATCATCGCCATACCAAACCTGAGAGGTGGAGGGTAAGTCATATATACATTACCACACCCAACCTGAGGGGTGGAGGGTGAGTTATATGCTCTTTGCCACGCCCAACCTGAAGGCTGAAGGATAAGTTACATGTACATTACCACACCCAACCTAAGAGTTGGACGTCAAGTCACATGTACATTGCCCTATCTAAGGTGAGGGGTGGGGTAACATATGTCCGTTGTTATACCAAACTTGAGGGGATGAATGTAAATCACGTACAATGCCTTACTCATCCTCACAGATGGAGGGTGAGTCATGTACCTTGCCATGCGTAGGATAAACGCGGGGGGGGGGGGGGTGTGAAAGTTAGAGGTACACTGCTTCATCCAACCTCAGGGGTGAAGGTTGACTTAACACTACATTAATTACATTTTCCTGAAGTTAAGGTTATAATTGATTTTTTTTTTCTTGGCAGTGAATATGGTGAAACTTGGCACCAAGCGGGCTGCTTTGGCAACAAACAGAATGTATTTGACGACTTTCAATACGCCGCCATTTACCTCACCCAACAGAAATACACATCGCCAGAAAAGTATGTTTATTGCTCCGCGCATTTACAAAAAACAAACGACGTGAACACTTTAAAACTTATAAAAGCTAAGTTTTTCGTTTGTCTCACGATGTAGTCACGTGTAATGTAGATCGAGACGTTTCGACTGCATACTGCTAGTCTTCTTCAGGCGATGAGGTCGACTGGTTATGTGTGATCTTATAAAGCATGATGCTCTGCTGTGATTAGTAAATGTAAATGGGTTTTTGTTGAGTGCGTGGTCGAAATTCCCAGAACAAAATTGAGTTTTGCTTTTGTTGTTTGTTATGTTTTGTTTGTTTGTCTGTTGTTGTTGTTGTCTTTTTTAATCAAGAAATTTTTTTTTCGGAATTCTTTTCATATATTTATTCATTTCCTTATTCGCTTTTTCATTTGTTTATATTTCTAAAGAATAACCATCATTGGTGGATCCAATGGCGGCTTGTTGGTGGGCGCGTGCATAAATCAGAGACCAGAGTTGTTTGGTTGCGCTGTTTCACACGTTCCGTAAGTTATGAGAATTTGTCATGGTCTTGTCTCATAATTTGAGCATGAACTAATTGAAATCCTTTCATCACTTGTCTCAGAGTTATGGACATGCTGAAGTTTCATAAATTTACCATCGGCCATGCATGGTAAGTGGTAATATGCTTTAATCACTTACATTGTTGCGTTTTTGTGGTTTTCTTGTGAGCATCTTTTTGTAGGATTTATGTTCTTAATCTGATCAGGTTCTAAACGCAGCTCTTAAAAGATTTCTTAAAGAAAAGTTTGTTTTGTTACCTTTTTATTGTTGATGTTGTTGTTGCTTTTTATTTTTCGTAAAGGACAACAGACTTTGGTTCACCCGATAAGGAGGAGGATTTCAAATGGCTTATCAAGTGGGTTGTTAATAATACTGTATTTCTTTACCAGTGGAGGAGATACTCTAAAATTGTTCTTGGTGGTATTCAAGCTCTTTTTGTATAGAAATCAATAGTTACAGCTGGCCAACAATCTTACCCCTCCCTACCTTCCGTAAAAAAATACTTAAACAACAACCTGATTGTCAATCCAAAAGAGAGTGCGTGACGCAGTCATGCGCAGTATGGTTATACGGTATGATCGTTTGTGACTCATAGAAAATGCTATAGTTGGTTACAGCAACTGATGTTTCGACGAACAAGTTCTGATTGGTTGATTTTTGCTGCATAACTGGCTATACTTCGCCTCCAAATCCTTTATTGCTGTTTGCGATGTGTCTAGTACCAAACCGTATTCCAGTTTAATCGAAAAAATTGAAAGAACCTTCTCGTTTTTCTTTAAGACATGCCATTTTTTAGAAAGTTTAAATCTGGCTCAAAATGTCGCAAACCGAAGTAAATGTTTCTCGGTGTCTTATGTTACTAGTTAGTTGATTATTTTGGCCGGCCAGCTTCATTGCTGGAAAAAAATGAAGCAAAAGATCTGATCCGGTTCGCGACTGACGCCTTTTTTATAGTAGTGGAAATTACAGCATTAGGGAGTCTCAAGGACAATCTAATCCAAGGAAACAACGACGAGTGTCGTGAATTTAATTTCCATTTTTTATGCGTTGTGATATTTTTAGCGCTTTGTTAAATCCGTTAGTGACCACGCATGTTCGACCAGTATGGCTAAGTACTGGTCTCGTTCATTTTCGCGTTTTTGTGGACCTCGACATAGCCCTGATCCAATTTCCACGCTTGATCAATGATGAAGTGGTATGGTTTTATCTCAGATATTCTCCTCTTCATAACATCAAGATTCCCGAAAGTGGTGCCCAGTACCCTGCACTTCTACTGCTAACTGCTGACCATGATGATCGTGTAGTCCCCTTACATTCTCTAAAGTACATCGCCCAATTGCAACATTGTGTTGGTAGTTACGAGAAGCAGGTAATATTCATCATCAGAAAATGTCACCTCAGAAACGCAAATGACAAATGTTTTCAGAGCATTACAGTGTAAATAAACCGAATGACCGTACAATACTTGTAACAAAAAGACAAAAAAATATCGTTTTCTTGCAGACAAATCCTTTGCTGATCAGAATTGATACAAAAGCTGGTCATGGGTTTGGGAAACCCACAGCCAAGATTGTAAGTTGGCACATTCATCTCTGTTACTTTCGTAATTATCGCTTACTCAGTAGGTGGACTGACAAATGAATTAGTTAAAACCCGTACTCATTTAGATTTCTGTGGCGGGAACAGTGAGCACAGATGCGTAAGTTGAGAGGAAATGGATTAATCGCGTCAAAGAGGGTTATGAACACTTCAAAGCGGGGAAACTGCAGTGCATACTTTTCTTATGTAGGATTCTGTGAATTTCAAGTTCATTGTTTCGTCACTTAGCCCACTGTCCCGTTATATTTACCCTTGGCCTTTGACAAAAATGCAGAGGTAATAATTTTACCTTAAAACCTTTCTGCACCAACAATGGTAAGGTATCGGAAGGTTAGCGTAACCTGGCTTCGCTTCCGTACATGCGCACAGAGCAGGACCTTTTCAGGCCACAAAACGACTTCGATTCCTTTTTTGAGTGAGGCAGAATCCCTTTTTGTTATTGGTCATCTTTACAGGACATTAGGTGCCAGTCTTCCTTCACCTAACTAATGCATTTTTATTTTTCTTTCAGATTGAAGAATGTTCCGATGTATATGGTTTCATTTCAAGAAGTGTCAACCTAAAATGGCAAGACTGATAAGTACAAGAAAACTGCAGAGCATTATGAAAACATGCTTAAATGAAGCAGTTGTATCCTTAGTGTCACGCACAACCCTGCGTGACACTTGCGTGCGATAATTATACCATCGTTAAGGCCTCCTGTGCCGGCCAAGGAAAGCCTCTTATTATATATATTATTGCTATTTAAACTTATTGTATTATCATTTTATCACGATTACAATTATAATTTTTTCTGTTATTTCTAGTCCTCGTGCTTGCAATAAATAAAACTCCCTGGTGCCTCAGGCCACCTCCTCTTTCTAGTTTGACTCTGTCAATCCCTTAATGATTTCATTTGGTTTCCTGGGCAAAAGAATTTTCTTACTATCGCCATGGTAATAGGACCGAGTGGAGTCCGATTCGATCAATAACCATACTTGTGATGAACAAAATCAGACGATCGCGAAGCTTTTCCCAAAGCACCCATGAAGTGATTGGAAACAATTTCTCGCTTGGTGTCCCTCGCACGATTGTCCCAGTTGTGTATATCTTGTATGTTGTATTCTGTTATGCGCTAGTTGTCCATCCAGTTCTCCAATCCCTGGATAGTTCTAAACTGAAGGATGCAGTTTCAAGTTTTATCCCATCTTTTTTCTTGATTGCGATAACAAGATTTTTAGCAGCGTTTTCTCGCTGTTCTGGTAGTAGTGTTAATTCCTCACTTCGCGCTTCTTACTGCGTTCGTGGGTAGTCTTGTTTTGTCCTTTCTCGAGTCTAGTACATCTAAAATGAAAATGGCCGAGGTCATCGTTTCTTCAGATAGCTTTGGATTGAATATTTGTGTTCTTAGAATTATTGGTCACCGTAATTTGGTGCCCTTTTCTCTGGTGGAGCGTTGATAACTGAAATAAGTAAATACACTGTTAAGTTGTAGCATGTATACAACCCTAGTCTTAATTGTTTGTCACTTCTTCGAGGAAAATCGGGAATTTAGGAGAGGAAACGACTAGTTTCTCTGACTAGTAAGGCAAGAAATCTCTCGCTAATGCAGAACTTTGAGTCAAACGTGCAATAACGTGAAAAATATATTTTCGTGATTTGTTAGAAAAATCACTTAAAAGGAAACAGTTATGCGTACGTCCTACCGTAATGAAATACAGCGATAAAAGCTTCTGATCATGCATGATATCATTTATAATATTAACAATACAAGCAGATCGAAATCTGAAACTGGTGTATCCTCTACATTATTTTTAAGAAAGAAATTTACGTACTTACTCAAGTTTCAACTCGATTTCTTCCTTTTTTCAAGTCTTCTCTTTAATATTATTTTGAGAGAAATTCTGTAGCCATGTGCACTAAAGTACATAGCTGAGTCGTGAACCGGAAACTTTTATTTATGCGGTATTAGCCGTCGGTAATGCGTTCTATTTCAATTCAGATATTGTTCGTGCACGAATGTGTGCTCGAGTTCAAAAATTTTAATTTTTAAAAGACAGAAATCCGTTGATAGTAGAAGTAAAATTCACACACTCAGGCAAACCCCGTGCAACCGCCTGATACGAAAACCTAGTGGGATGAATGGGCGTGTAATTTCCGACCAAATCCAGTTAGTTAGAAAAGTTAGAAAAGTTAAAGTTAGAGCGCAGAGATGAACAAATTTAAACTGTCGAACCTGCTATGTACAAAAATGGCCTGTTTACAAGATGGTGGGGGACCTTAGGTAGGTGAGGTGATCCGCCTACTGTGGTCGAAAAATAGCCCGCGTTTACATACAATTTTACAACCTCGGGATGCCGAGAAGAGGTTTGTCGAGGTTGTTATCGCACTTGTAATTGAAGACTTTAGGACATCACTACGGCGACGTGTGGTAAGACGTTGGCCAAAAAATGTAATTTAAGTTTAGGCGAGCTACCTCACCTAACTGGGGTCCCCCACCTCCATATAAACAGGCCCGTAATCAGCGCCATACCGGCGCAAACGTTTGGCAAACGGGAGACAGTTGCTGCTTGTTTGTCTTTACCACACGCATGATTTTGAGATAACGACATCGTAGTATGTTTTCTTTTACCGGAATTACGGACGACTGAACAGATTGCTTAATGCAATACTACATATTTTCATGCATTGTAAGTAAAGAAGATTTGCTGCTGGCAGTTTAGGCCTTCTAGGTTCTTCCTTACACATGCCATTTTTCGTTCTAAATACGTTGATTTGAAACCATAGGAAACATTTGCTAGTTTTTTTTTCAGCTTTTTGTGGTTTCCAGGTTCATCTATAGGCGTCAAGGGTCAACGATTTCTGTTCAATTGTTTAACGATCAAGAACTGCATGTTGATTCAGTTTAAGAAAAATGATGCAAACTGCAGAATTTTAGATTCCCGCCATAAACTAATTATTAAATTGATCAAAATAAATCGTGACCAAACGAGAAACAACGCAGCACCTGACACTCGATGATTTGACAAATCAACATTTCGTTTAGCGTGGACTGTATTTTTATCGACAACGATATTCGTCATCACAGCGGTCAAAATGTTGTGGACTCGCGAGGCGCAGCCCTTTGAATCCACAACAAAAAACTAGTTCGATTCATTACTTTTTGGATCGATCATAAGTTGAAGAAGAACCTCCGCCACTTTGAAATTTGCTTAATTCATTTCATTCATTCGATTCAGTTGAGAAAATTGTTGATGGTCTCTTTCCCATGTGCCGACGTGCCTTTGGGGGAAAATCAGTTGTGTAATAATTTTAAGAGACCGTTAACCTAATTTTTAGATCTCTTGAAAAACTCCGAGGCACAGCTTGATGAATCTTGAAGAGCTGAGGTCAATTTCGAAAAAAAAGGGGCCCATAGATTCAATTTTTGATTCGTAAGCACATAGATCTACAAGAATCTATTACTAATAGGCGTTGTTTCCCCCGCTTTTGTGAGCAGGACACAGAAAGAGTACGAGCAGTTTGGCTGTTTATAGTTACTGTCTCCACTTGATATTGAATTCCAGTTGCAGAGAGTATGAGGAGTCCCTTTTGGTGAGGAAAGGTACTGAATATTTCAGTCTTTTCGATGGCAAGTTTTCCCTCTGGTTTTCACTCTCATTTGCAAAACGCCAATAAAATTATTGGAAACAATATTTCTACCTGGGTACCCCTAACGCGATGAGTTATCAGTGATTCGTATACTTTTAAACATTGTTTTCGGCAGACTGAAAATTAGAACATTTAAAAACATTTTCGCAAGCATTTTATTATACTTGTTTGAGTTTGAGCTCTATGATATCAGTTCTTTTCGTCACGTGAAGTCCCTTTAATCTTTTTTTACTTCTAACATTAAACTAAGATAATGATGTTGAATCAGGTACGAATATTAGGGCTAATGTGGATGGAGGGGGGGAGGGAGAGGGTACATTTTTTTTAATCTGTGAAAGATTTTAAGCTCTCGCTAATCTGCTGCCTTATTAAAGAAATTCGTCTAAACTTTCTTCTTTTTTTTCAGTAACTCTAGGCTAAGCTTTTAAAGTTTCGATTCGTAACTTTTAACCTTTCTATGGAGTATCGAAGGTAGATTGTGTATTGTATTCAATGTGAATAAGATTGTAGATCGAAGTTTTCTTTCATGCAAGTTTTTATTGTTATTCCTTCCCTTGTATACAATATCAAATTCTTAGCTTGGGTCATTATATTTAGCTCCAGGTACACAGCATTGCTTACAGGAGAAATCCACTCGCTTATTACTGCTAACCGAACATTTGAAATTATGCCATCGTGAATATCGACAACGCTATCACAAAATGATTGACAATTATACATACAATCATTTTTATCATTATTTGTTATTATTATTGTTATTATTATTATAATTATTATTATTACTTTTAGTAGTAGTAGTGGTAGTAATAGTAGTAGTAGTAGTAGTAGTATTGTTATTAGTACATATAGTATTACTATCGTGATAATTACTATTGTTATTGTAATTATTATCATTGTCATTCCTATTTATATTATCAAATTTCTAAGGTATATTTTAATCCATACCTTCGCATGTTGGATTTCATCTACAAGGAGTGCCTTAAGCTTTTCAGTGCAGTTAAATGGAGGCCATCAACGTAGATGCTCTAGGATAGTAAATATGCTAAAACTATCAGATATCTGAAACTATCTAGTGAATCACAGGCCAAGTAAAGAGTTTTTAATGGCAAGGTTGTTGATGAACAGGTATTTTAACCAAGATAAAACACCTCCCAGTCATCAGGTGAAAAGTACTGTGTACCAGACAAGATTGTGGTTGGATCTTGTGATTCTTTTGGTGCCTCGTAGGTTCTAAGATAGGCTAATGAATAACTGTTGCTGTTAGCATTGTCCGAAATGTAAATGTCCCAGGCATTTCCAAATGTTGGACCATACCCCTGATGCCTGTAAATTGCATATTGTGACTGTAAAACCATGCTCTTAAATGGATGCAGTTCTTCTTTGTTCCGTAGAGAAAATATGAACGCATTGGGAGTGTTGCCATAATAACCAGAAGAATCTGAAAAAACAAAAGCGTTGGTGCAATTTAAACTCGTGCCCTGTTTGGGTAACAAAGTGGTTAAAGGGCCGCTGACTAGAACTCCGTACAGTGGAAATATCAGAGACTAATTTACTTAGTTTGGCCTTTCAAGGCACAATGAATTCGAAGTTAAATTAAAGTTTTTACCCCAAGTAATATCAGTGTATCCTCCAAACACGTACTGGCCTTTTTTGATGATGGTCACGGTGTTTGGTTTATGGTCGCAACTGGTGTGGAAGGTGCTTGTAGCCCAGCCGTGCGTGGAGGCGCGGTGGCACAGCAACCACTGTGAACTATTTCCTACAGCAGGCCACAAAAAATGTGACAGGTTGCCGAGAAAGTTTGTGTTGCCCACCAATATTGTAGAACTGATTAACATACCTAAGAAAAAATAACATAGTCCATCAAACTTGATTCAACCGCATTGCCTGTCACATGAACTTCAATCCACGAGGCAAAAAAAAAAAAAAAAAAAAAAACGCGTACGGTATTTACCTCAGGAAGCTTCGCTCTTAGGTTACACCTTGCGCCTTGTTTGTTGGTCGTTTTGCGATAGGATTTCAAAATAATCATACTCATAATCGTAATATTAATTAACAAGGAAAGAAGCCTTGACTGTGCCCTGTTCTGTTGTAAAGCAGTTGAGAAGCGGTTAGAGCCCAAAAGAAGTGTAGGGGAAATCACGAGACGTAGTACAAATTGGCAGATGGCGTGACAGCTTTAGCTCAGCCCATGTTTTGTACCCTGATAGCACACGCTCTTTCAACCAATGGCAGGGCACGTTATATCCGAACTTTATTTTAATAGTAATTTATAATTAACAGTGGACATTCCATATGCACACATACATGCCCTCTTGTTTGTAACTCATTCCACAACAACAGTGGAAATTATCTAAGACTCATTATGCCTTAGCATTACTGTTGGTCCGTTCCATATAGATTCTAGGTTTCCGCACAACATGACCGCCGATTATTTCCATAAATTTTTTTTTTTTTTTGTATTTTATTAATTTTTATTAATTCAAAGTTACATACATTTTTCATAAACAAACATAATTCACATAAACAGACAGACACGGTACATCATATATCTACATACACAATCCACAGTTCCTCTTAGCTCTCCTCGGCTTCTAAATATAATACTAGTACAGTGCAGCAACAAACATGAGATTCTATATCATCTAATAATTTTTGTACTTGTCCCATTTCATATTATGAGCTTTTAGCTTATTATTTGATTTTGCGATCATTGTCTCGAGTTGGTGGATCGTTTTAATTTTGAGGTTTAATACTTTAATTGAAGGAAGAGATTTGTTCTGTCGGCAAGAATATAAATACTGTTTGGCAATTATTAAAATATGATTTATTAATAATTCGTCTTCGCACCTTAAAATACCAAACATTATATCTTTTTCAGAGAGGTGTTTTATCTTTACGCCTTGATTATCGAACCACTTTATTACCTCAGCCCAGAAATCCTTAGTATAACGACAAGAAATAAAAAAGTGCTCCAAGGATTCGTTCATTTCGCCGCAAAAGGAACACGCCGGGGATGGAATAATACCAATTTTGTTTAAAAAAGAATTTGTGACAAGACACCTGTTAAGTAGTTTATACTGGAATTCACGCGATTTTGTGTCCAAGGAAGTACGAAATGGCAAGTTGTAAATCTCTTTCCATTCTAAAACATCATTAACAAAATGAGTATTAAAATTCAGTTGGGCAGTCGGTGGAGTGATGATTCTATTTCGAAGTTCTTTATATATAGTCTTTAAAATGACTGTTTCAATTAAAACGTTTTTGTCATTAAAACTTAATTTAATTTCGTTAGACAAATTGAAAGGCTCGTTAGCTGTAGAAGCAGGCGTGTTTAATGATTCACGCCATTCAACTGGTAAGGCGTCTATTACAGAAATAAGTCTAAATATATCTAACGGCGAGGTGTTTAATTCTCTCAACTTGTAATTACTTTTAACAATAAATTCGTTATTGTCCAAGATTAGATCCCCTATTCGAAGAATTCCTTTTTCTGCAAGATTTTTATCCCATAAAGGCTCTTAATAGGCAACAAGTATTTTGAACAAACCTGGTTCACATCGCTTTCCAGAAAACCCCTGTCGACATCGGCACTCGAAGCTAACGACTCCATCGATGCAAGTTCCACCGTTAAGACATGAGTCTTTCTCGCAGTGCTTGATTACTTTAAAAGAAATCAATCAAAATCAAATTAAAAAATAGAAAAAAAAAGAAAACAATATACATGATAAGCATAAAAGTTATTGAGACATTGGGAACGTTTTAAGTGAAACTATGGATTGTGGGGTAATTTTAAGATTATTCCTTTTATTCATGTCCATTTAAAGCCTAAACATCCAATAGACCATCAAGAAGTTGTCATGTAACATTAGCGTCAACACTTCCTGTGCAATTGGAACCCAACGTATTCGCACTGCTTCTGGCTGAAATTTGTTCCCAAAGTATCGGTCTTGCGTTAAAGTTATGATGCAGTGCTGATGTAATTATTAATAAATGGCAGGAAATTTTTAATCTAGCACATTTAAACACCTCACCTGTTTCGCAGTCTTTCCCCTCAAATCCAATTTTGCAAACGCACACATAACTGTTTTTCTCGTACTGCGGTACGCAAGTGCCATAGTTTTGACAGGGTCCTCTGCTGCAAGGTGTCTTAAATGAAATTAGAAGTAAAACAATGAGTCAACCGGCAACTCTTGAACTTTGCCTCAGAAACGAGAGAGAACCTGCTCAGTAAACTAATTAGTTGTATATGTTTTCATACCCGATATGTATACAGGGCTAGTATTTATCAAGCCTATGCCCATCTTAGGTCTTTGGCGGGGAAACTACGGTACACCTGTTTATGCCAGTGCAACCTAGGCACAAACTAGTGTCATACAGAAATCAAGCAGTATCTGTGTGAGGCAAATTTTCCCAAGGAAAGATGACAATCACACCAAAAGAGAGATTTCGCTCCTTGTTAAAGTTTTGGAGGAGCCGAGTCACCTTCCAGCTGAATATCTCAGTGATCTTCCTTCTTCTTAGTTGAGTAACCCCCCCTTTCTTGTTTATAAAAACAACAGAATGATGATCATTTTAATAACGCGAGAATTTTGAAATAGAGACAAGTAGCCATAGAATTAATGATGCTATTAATGTCAAACAATAAAGTTTTCTTTGTCAAAAAATTAAAAGAACGAAAGAAAGATCATATGTTCAAATCTATATATAAGGAGCTGAGTCACCCTCCGGCTGGATATCTTGGTAGTCTATCTTCTTCTCAGTTAAGTAAGTTCCCCTTCCTTTGTTTATAGAAAAAAATGATTCGCTTCCCTTCCCTAGCGAATGTAAATACTTCTTAATCATAAAAAAAGATCGAGGAAGGATTATTCTTGAAAACGGTTCATTTAAAACAGAATAATGGTCATTTTAATAACGCGAGAATTTTAAAATAGAGACAAATGGCCATAGAATTATTGATACCCATTAAGGCCATACAATAAAGTTTTCTATTTGCCAAAATATTAAAAGAAAGAAAGAAAGATCATATATTCAAGTCTACTTAAAAATATAATTCCAATTCCTTTGCCATAATATTAATTTGATTTTGTCCAGCTGCGCCAAAGTGTCTGCACGTTTCTAAAGAACAATAATGTCATGCCAGCTATTACTCATGGAGCTACTTAGCTGAAAACTAAAACAATGAATCTTTTTCTCTATTTTTAATATTCTCTCTGCGCGAAATGTCTTTTATACATATGTTTTCTGGGAGGTTTTCTTTATGTGCAACTTTTGCGCTCCGTGAATCTGTGCAGTCAAATAAAATTCCATGAACATGACTTTTATTGACTGAACACGCGAAGGACGCGACTGTAGAGGCTCTGAAGCAAAGGCGAGAGGGAATTCCGCTTCGGAAACTCAAACCACCGCGAGGGAAATGTAAAAGTTATCTGTTCATGGGTCAGTTGCGCGTCCATGGAGATATGAAGCATTTGAGAGGTTTGGAGAGCACCCAAGAAGCTAGAAATGCTTCAAGGGACATAAGTTTCAATTTATTCGTACAGGATTGATGCGAGCCCTCAGCGTGTGTTTTGAAATTCTAATTGATAACCATCTGTCTGAATAAACTTTACCCTAGGGGCATTTCTCCCAGAGCATGTAGAATTTTTTTTAATGTGAAACATCAGATCACTCACCTGAATACTGTAATGATGAAACTTCTGGCTGATGATGACTTCGTCCGAGTTGTTGTACTTATCCGATGGCAGCAGCTCACATACGCGTGTTCCTGTTTTGGAGGCACTTGCCTCTAAGTTGTATGAAAAACACATGGGTTCCTTTAGGCAGGCAAACGCACACTCGCCGTGGTTTTGAACCTCAGCCGAATTGATCTTGCTGATGTTTAAATAGGAAAATGTTTCTTCCACCATATTCATCAGCCACATTTCGTCATAGGACTCTTGATAGAGACCTTTGTTTGAAAAGGTCCACCCTTTTTTATAACCTATCACAACGAAAATGATTTTGTCATTTGCATAGCTCTGCTGATCGCTATTACCTCTCCAAATTAAGCAAAATGTGAAACAAAACATAAAATGTAGAAAGTAGTTTACAGTACCTTGCGAGGTATGAAGACAACGAAAAAAGCAGACCAGTAAAGGCAGGCAATATCGGAGTTTAATGCGAACGCGCTCCATTATCAATTGTCAGAAAACTTGATATGACAGTGGTAACCAGGTGCCTCTCTATGAGTTATGATGCCTTGTGAGGCGGTTTTAAAGAGGATTGTTTCAACCAAAAGCTTATGCCATAGGACCACACCACGATATAATAACCTGCATTGTGTAAACGATGATGTTCAAAGTAAGTCCTTGGAGCACCTGTCTCCGTGACACCAATGAGTCGATATCGTGACTATTGCTCAACGATTTAACAAAACCACCTGCACTAGCAAAAACGATCCCTCGACACTTTTTTAATGAGAGAGTGGCTTAATTGCTAAACGGGTCTAAATAGCATTTAAAAGTACGGGGTATGCAACTCTTAACAAGAGGTGAAGTAAATGTTACATTCGGGCAACACCTATGCCACATCAGGCTGAATAATTCTAAACCGAAGCAAGCGAATTTGAATATCATAGAGACGGTAATGTTTGGCTCGCCGTTGTTTCAATATTACATGGCTACGTAGAACTCAATTGTACTGACAGCCATAAATATACTTACTGTTTATCAATTGAAAGACAGAGGTTTCACACAATTTGAATTTTCTACCTCAATCTCGTTTCATGAAAATTTCAAAAAGGATTTTCTTTTCTTTTCGTTTGTTTTGGGTTTTGTTTTGTCTGGTTGTATTTTGTTTTAGGTTTCGCTAATTTTATCAAATTTTGAAAGGGTGAATAAGAACTTCCTTTTTACGCATTTCACAGTCGTGCAAAGGGCGGAAGGCGATCGATGTTGTGAAATATCTAGACACAGCGCAAGTTATCAAAGCTATTAGACCCAACAAGTGTTTTCCTTTCACAGTGGGTCGATCGTTTTTTCATGTGCACAACAAAGCCCAACTGACGCTCACGATCAGAGCCAAAGTCCTCGCTCAGAGGATGTTGATGGTATCCCGCCCATGTGCCGACGTGCCATCGGAGGAAAACCGGTTGTGTGATAATTTTAAGAGACAGTTAACCTAATGAAAAACTCCAAGGCACAGCTTGATGAATCTTGAAGAGCTGAGGTCAATTTCGAAGAAAGTGGGGGCCCATAAAAGTTTTGATTCGCGAGCACATAGATCTAAAAGAGTCCAGGCGTTGTTTCCCACGTTTTTGTAAGCAGGCTATGACACAGAAAGAGTCCTTGTCGCGACCAGTTTGGTTGTATATAGTTACTGTCTCCACTTAATGTTGAATATCATTTGCAGAGAGTATGAGGAGTCCTTTTTGGGTGAGGAGAGGTACTGAATATTTCAGCCCTTCCGTTAGCAAGTTTTCCTTCTGGTTTTCCCTCTCTTGCGCAAAACGCCAATGAAATTATTGGAAACAATTTCTCTCTGGGCACTCTACCGCGATGAGCTATCTGGATGTGCATACTTTAAACATTGCTTTGGGCAGACTGAAAATTATAACATTTAAAAACATTTTCGTCAGCATTTTATTATATTTGTTTGAGTTTGAGCTCTATGATACCAGCTCGTTTCGTTATATGAAGCCCCTTTAATCTTTTGTACTCCGAAAATTAAACTACCACAGTGATGTTGAATCAGTTGCGAATATCAAAGGCTAATGTGGATTTTTAATCTGCTGCCTTAAAGAAACTCTTCTAATCTTTCCCATTTTTAAGTAACTCTAGGCTAAGCTTTCAAAGTTTCGATTCGTAACTTATCCGACCCGACCCTTTTAAGCTTTCTATAATGTACCGGAAGAAGATTGTATATTGTATTGGATATAAATAAGATTGTAGATCGAAATTTTCTTGCATGCAAGGCACAGCTTGATGAATCTTGAAGAGCTGAGGTCAATTTCGAAGAAAGTGGGGGCCCATAAAAGTTTTGATTCGCGAGCACATAGATCTAAAAGAGTCCAGGTGTTGTTTCCCACGTTTTTGTAAGCAGGCTATGACACAGAAAGAGTCCTTGTCGCGACCAGTTTGGTTGTATATGGTTACTGTCTCCACTTAATGTTGAATATCATTTGCAGAGAGTATGAGGAGTCCTTTTTGGGTGAGGAGAGGTACTGAATATTTCAGCCCTTCCGTTAGCAAGTTTTCCTTCTGGTTTTCCCTCTCTTGCGCAAAACGCCAATGAAATTATTGGAAACAATTTCTCTCTGGGCACTCTACCGCGATGAGCTATCTGGATGTGCATACTTTAAACATTGCTTTGGGCAGACTGAAAATTATAACATTTAAAAACGTTTTCGTCAGCATTTTATTATATTTGTTTGAGTTTGAGCTCTATGATACCAGCTCGTTTCGTTATATGAAGCCCCTTTAATCTTTTGTACTCCGAAAATTAAACTACCACAGTGATATTGAATCAGTTGCGAATATCAAAGGCTAATGTGGATTTTTAATCTGCTGCCTTAAAGAAACTCTTCTAATCTTTCCCATTTTTAAGAGACTCTAGGCTAAGCTTTCAAAGTTTCGATTCGTAACTTATCCGACCCGACCCTTTTAAGCTTTCTATAATGTACCGGAAGAAGATTGTATATTGTATTGGATATAAATAAGATTGTAGATCGAAATTTTCTTGCATGCAAGGCACAGCTTGATGAATCTTGAAGAGCTGAGGTCAATTTCGAAGAAAGTGGGGGCCCATAAAAGTTTTGATTCGCGAGCACATAGATCTAAAAGAGTCCAGGTGTTGTTTCCCACGTTTTTGTAAGCAGGCTATGACACAGAAAGAGTCCTTGTCGCGACCAGTTTGGTTGTATATGGTTACTGTCTCCACTTAATGTTGAATATCATTTGCAGAGAGTATGAGGAGTCCTTTTTGGGTGAGGAGAGGTACTGAATATTTCAGCCCTTCCGTTAGCAAGTTTTCCTTCTGGTTTTCCCTCTCTTGCGCAAAACGCTAATGAAATTATTGGAAACAATTTCTCCCTGGGCACCCTACCGCGATGAGCTATCTGGATGTGCATACTTTAAACATTGCTTTGGGCAGACTGAAAATTATAACATTTAAAAACGTTTTCGTCAGCATTTTATTATATTTGTTTGAGTTTGAGCTCTATGATACCAGCTCGTCTCGTTATATGAAGCCCCTTTAATCTTTTGTACTCCGAAAATTAAACTACCACAGTGATATTGAATCAGTTGCGAATATCAAAGGCTAATGTGGATTTTTAATCTGCTGCCTTAAAGAAACTCTTCTAATCTTTCCCATTTTTAAGTAACTCTAGGCTAAGCTTTCAAAGTTTCGATTCGTAACTTATCCGACCCGACCCTTTTAAGCTTTCTATAATGTACTGGAAGAAGATTGTATATTGTATTCGATATAAATAAGATTGTAGATCGAAATTTTCTTGCATGCAAATTTTTAGTGTTATTCCTTCCTTTGTATTCAGTATCAAATTCTTAGCTACGAGACAATTAATGTCCTTTCTGGTGTTGCAATTGGGTTACTATATTTAGCTCCAGGTACATTGCCTACAAGGGAAGTCCACATGCCTATTACCGCTCACTGAACATTTGAAATTACGCCATCGTCAATATCCACATCTTTCTTACAACGTGATAGACAATTATATTTACAATCATATTCGCATTATTTTTGTTATTATCATTGTTATTATTAATATCACTGATAATAGTAGTGGTAATATTTGTATTGCTACAAGTAGTATTACTATCATCATAATTGCTATTGTTATTCTAATTATTATCGTGATCATTAACGTTAGTATTAGTATTATCATATTTTCAAGGTATATTTTAATCTAACCCTTCGCTTGTTGGATTTCATTTAGAAGGAGTACTCTAAGCTTTTCAGCGCAGTTAAATGGAAGCCATCAACGTAGATGATCTAGGATAGTAAATAAGTAGCGCTGAAACTATAAGATGATTTTTCTACTTTTACTAAATGTACCCCTATAGGATTTATGGCCAATTGAATCACATGCCAAGGAAATAGTGTTTGATGGCAGGGTTGTTGATAAACAGGTATTTTAACCGAGGTAAAACACCTCCCAATCATCAGGAGAGAAGTGAAATGTACTAGACAAGATTGTGGTTGGATGTTGGGATTCTTTTGGTGTCTCGTAGGTTATAAGATGGGCGAATGAATAACTGTTGCTGTTAGCATTATCCCAAATGTAAATGTCCTCGGCAAATGTTGGACCAAACACCAGATGCTTGTAAATTGCATAATGTGGTGCTTTGATAATGCTCTTAAATGGATGCAGTTCTTCTTTGTTCCGTAGAGAAAATATGAACGCATTGGAAGTGTTGCCAAAAGAATTAGAAGAATCTAAAGAACAAAAGTGTAGGTACAGTTTAAGCTAGTGCCCTGTTTGGGTAAGGAAGTAGTTAAAGGGCCGCTGAGAACTAGAACTCCCTTGAATGGAAATATCAGAGACTGATTTACTTGCATAGTTTAGCCTTTTTCATGCGAAGTTAAATGAAAGTCTTTTTACCCCAAGCAATATCAGTGTATCCTCCAAACACGTACTGGCCATTTTTGATGATGGTCACGGTGTTTGGTCTACAGCAGGCGACAAAAAATGTGACAAGTTGCCCGCCAATATTGTAGAGTTGATTGACATGCCTAAGAAAAAATAATTTGGTTCATCAAAGTTGATTCAACCGCGTTACCTGTCACCTGAACTTCAATCCACGAGGCAGACAAAACAAACAAACAAACAAAAAACGCGTACGGTACTTACTTCAAGAAGCTTCGCCCTTAGATTATGCCTTGTTTGTTGGCCATTTAGCGGTAGGATTTCAAGAGATGCATATAATAATCATAATCACAATCAAAATCATAATCAACGAATAATGAACCTTGACTGTGCTCAGTTCTTTTTTTAAAGCAGTTGAGAAGCGGTTAGAACTTGAAAGAAGTGTAGGGGGAAACACGAGACGTAGCACAAATTGGCAAATGACGTGACAGCTTTAGCTCAGCCCCGTGATTGTACTCTGATAGCACACCCTCTTTCAACACATTTAAATACTTGACCTGTTTCGCAATGTTTTCCCTCAAATCCAATTTTGCAAACGCACACATAACTGTTTTTCTCGTACCGCGGTACGCAGGTACCATAGTTTTGACAGAGTCCTCTGCTGCAAGGTGTCTAAAATGGAATTAGTAGTAAATCAATGAGTCAAAAACACACGAACTTTGCTCCAGAAACCATA